TGTCTGTTTTTTGGTTGCGTTGTAAACCTTTTTATTGCGTTTTATAAATTTGCCGAAGTTTCCTTCAAAAAAAAAACCCCCAAATGGACCCTCAATCACTCCAATTAATGTCTGATTAGACTAATTATGACGAACTATGCACATTATACCCATTAAGTCTGATCATACTAGTAGATGGACCCAAAATGGAAGACCACGTTTGACTTTTCCTCTCAAAAAAAGCGATTTTTTTGATGAAGTTTGATGTTTCTTTGATGTTCGCGGGGTTGATTCTTGGCTGATTCTTTGAGTTTGGATTGTTTCGTAAGCATTCATCTAAGAGTTTTATGCCGATGCTTGCTTTTTTCGTTGGTATGTTCATGTTTGCTTGCATCTAGGGTTTACTCGATAGRTGYTGTTTCTGTTGGTTCTTCACGATCTGGTCTGGTGGATYTGTGGTTAGTTGTTTTGATTGTCTTTCTTCTTTCCTTGGTTTTGGTGTGGTCGGTTGTTGTGACTCATCCGACATTGAGGTAGGGTTCTAGGTTTCGCTGTTTTCTTCAGCATATGCGGCTAGGGTTTCCTTCGTTCTTGCTACGGTTTCAAGGAGGCAGAAGGTTTTTATTTTTGGAAAGAGTTCTGGCTTTGGTTTAGAAGGCAGTAGGGTTTTTCTTCTTGATCGGCTGCTTCTTGGTCGTTTCGTTTTATCGGTTGTTGGTTGCTGTCGTCTTTTACGTGGTTTCTGTTTGATCTATAACCGTTTGTCGGGTTTTTCACTGTTTGTTCTGGCGCTTCGCATCAGCATTAGGGTTCAAATTTTAGATAGCTTCCTGGTTTGATTCTGGACCTGTTTGCATTGGTTTAAAGCTGTGTACTGATTCTGTGATTTTATGTGCCTCTAGACCATAATTTCAGGTTTGGTTTCTCTTTGGTGCTGTTTGGTTTTTATTGAGACTGGTTTTGTGGCTGTCGCTTTCTGTCCACGGTACTGCTTGGCGTTGTTCTGCAACGTCTATAAAGCTGCTGTTTCACGTTCTTAACAGCGGCTCTCTTTCGTCTATTTGGTTTGTGTTGCTTCTGGGCTTCTGGTTTGTTGAGGTTTTGTTTTCTTCTGGGTTTTCGTGATCGGCTACTGTTGGTTGGATTTTGGGCTGTTCTGCGTATGATTTTATGTGTGCTGCTCCTCTCTAAAGCTGTTGTTTCGGGCTGTGCTGTTGATGCTGTTCTTCTTTGGCTGCAGTAACGTGTTTGAGAGGTATTTGCTGTTTGAGTACGTTTCTTGCTGTTTGTTTTATTTAGCCGGTATTCCGTGTTTCTTACGTTCATTCTAAGTGTTTCCTTGGTCTTCGTCATTTTTGTGGAATTCCCTTGATAAATATTCAGCACCCTAGTTTTCTAGGGTCTTCGTCTATTCTATTAAGGGCGCTATACAAAAATTTCAGCACCTAGGCTTCTTAGAGTGTTCCATGGAAATGGGGGATGGTCCGGTTCCGCCTTCTGATCCTTCCCGTATCTCGGTTTTTGATCGGCTTTCACATCTTGATAATGATGTTGCGGATAATATACCTATGGGTTCGGAGAATCTAGTCAGAGAAAAGTTAAATTTTGCCAAAGCGGTGGGACAAGCGAGTGACACAATCTTAAATTTCTACCCTTTAGAGGATAAGAAACAAGTGAGTGTGAAAATACCTATTGAAATGGCTAAGGAAGCCGCTAAAGCTTATAACTCGGTTTTGTATGGATATTTTCTGGGTCCGCGCATATCTTTTCCCATGGTGAAAAATTACGTCAAACTGGCATGGGGAAAATATGGTTTTAAAGATGCTATGCTTAATGAAAATGGTATTTTCTTTTTTAAGTTTAATGATATTGGTGGATGTGATCAAGTAATTGAAGCAGGCCCGCTAATGATAAGAGGCATACCTCTTTTTGTTCATCGATGGGATCCTTCTAAGGGGTTAAGGAAACCTGTACATACCTCATGCCCGTTATGGGTAAAATTGCACAACATCCCCTTGGTCGCTTTCAATAAAGAGGGTGTCAGTCGCATCGCTAGTGTGTTGGGGGTTCCGAAGCAAATGGATTCCTGTACGGCGGCAATGTGTGAAAAGGCATGGGGTCGTCCGGGTTTTGCAAAAGTTCTTGTTGAGGTATGGGCTGTCGGTGACTTAAAAAAACAAATTGAGGTTGAAATCCCTGATCGCAATGGAGGGGTAGCTGACAATGTGCAAATCCAGGTGGAATATCTATGGGAACCAGTTCAATGTTCCCATTGCCAAGTTTTTGGACATAAATCGTCATCTTGTCCTAAATCTGTAATCAAAGGCAAGCATGTGGAGGGGAGGAAAGATGCAGAAGGCTTTGTTAGAGTGGAAAAGAAACAGTGGCGCGCTAAAACAGGAGGTAATGCTAAAAATTTTGTTCCTCGGCAAAATAAAGTTATGGAAAGGCAAGTCTCTATGCCGGAGGTTGTGGGAGCCAGTACCTCGGGTAAAGACGTAATGGATGATTGTAATAAGGGCATTTCTTTGGATCCTTCTAAGCAACCTGGACGTTATGAGATGAATAAAGGCTCAGGTACGCTTTCTATTGGTGTTGATTCTGGGTCTTCTTCTACACAGTCTTCCCACTCTACAAATTCTACGACTCAGGCCACTCCCCTTATTGATTCTGTGGTTAAAAACTTTCGGTTGGTCTGGAGGGGTGAAATACGTGATCCCCCCTTAGCTGCTAATAAATTTGGTGTTCTTGAGAAGTTCCGTGACGTGGAACTTCATGGGGGGGGCAAACCGAGGGGGTAACAGACCAGGTTGTTAGCAATTCCACTGAGGATTGCCGGGAGAGAGGAGTTGTTTCAAATACCTCATCATGTTAAATTTTGCTTCATGGAATATCCGGGGTCTTAATTCTCCGGTTAAACAAAAAGAGGTGAAAAACTTTATTCATTGTAATGATTTGTGTTTGTGTTCAATAATAGAATCTCATGTCGCTAGGGATTCCTTTGAGAATGTTTCGTCTTTTATTTTTGGTCGGTGGTCTTGGATTTCTAACCAAGTGGAATGTGATTCTGGAACTCGTATTATCATTGCATGGGATTCACGAATTTTAGATGTTATGCTTTTGGAGGTGCACAATCAATTCCTGAATTGTAAGATTATCTTACGAGATAATCAGGAGGCCTTCTTTTGCTCGTTTGTTTATGGTGCCAATGTATGCAATGCTAGAAGGCAATTATGGTCGGGATTGAGGAAATTTAAGGTCTTGATTGGTGGGCAACCTTGGGCCATAATGGGGGATTTCAATACCATGCTTTTCCCTCATGACGGTTTTGGGGGGTCCTCTCGTCGTAATGCTGACATGGCGGATTTTTTTGCTTGTATTGAGGATGTTGAAGTTTTTGATCTAAATTACACTGGTGTCCATTACTCATGGAACCAAAAGCCGAATGCTTCTGGGGGTATCTTGCCTAAATTGGACAGAATTATGGCTAACTCAGAGTTTACTTCTAAATGCCAGGATATTACTGTTCATTTCTTTCCGGCTGGTCTTTCGGATCACTCTCCGGGTGTTTTATCTTTTAAAGGAGGCGCTCGAAAAAGGAGGTATGGTTTTAAATTTGATAATTTCCTGACAGAACATTCGGATTTCTTGCAGATTGTTCATGAGGAATGGTCTAAGTATATTGAGGGATCCTTTATGTTTCGGGTTACTTCTCACCTGAAAGCTCTTAAGGTCCCTTTTCGTAAGCAGAGGAATTCCTATGGAAATCTTGGGCAGCGTGTTGCTTTTCTGAAAACTGAGTTAGACCGGATCCAGATCGATGTGGATAATGATCCTTCTAATGCTGATTTGGGGAGGGATCTTGGTGATATTCGTCTGTCGTATCAATTGGCTTGTTGGGATGAAGAATGTGCTGCCAAGCAGCGTGCCAAAGTCAAATGGTTAAATGAAGGCGACTCAAATACGAAGTTTTTCCATAGGGTGATTAAAGAACGTCATCACTCTAACTCTATCATGTCTGTCTGTAATAGTCGGGGCATTTATGTTTCTGGCGATGATGTCCCTAAAGAATTTGTGGATTATTTTAAGAGTTTCTTTGGTGTTCGGAATGTTTCTACAAACCCAGTTATGGCTAATATTTCTTTTCCAAGGAAGTTAATTCTGTCAGAAGCTCTTGATATGATTCGGCCGGTCACGAATGAAGAAATTAAAAATGCTATGTTTAGCATTGGAAATCATAAAGCCCCAGGCTCTGATGGGTTTTCTTCAAAAAATTTCAAGGTGTCATGGGGAATCATTGGCCGTGATGTGGAGATAGCGGTCCATAATTTTTTCTATCGAGGTAATCTTCCGAAAGAACTGAACCATACGCTTATTTGTCTTATTCCTAAATCTGCTAATGCTTCTAAGGTTACGGACTATCGGCCTATAGCTTGTTGTACTGTTCTCTATAAATGCATTAGTAAATTTATTGCTAATAGAATGAAGGGGTGTCTGGATTCTCTTATTGATAAGTCCCAGTCGGCTTTTATTCCGGGTAGGAGGATAACGGATAATATCCTTATGGCTCATGAACTTGTTACAGGGTATCAGTCGTTGGTTGGCCCTCCTAGATGCGCGTTTAAAATAGACATTAAAAAAGCTTATGACACGGTGGATTGGAATTTCCTCATTGTTATGTTACAGGGGTTGGGATTCCATCCGGTTATGGTTAATTGGATAAGGGAGATGGTGTCCACTACTTCTTTTTCTCTGGCGATAAATGGCAATTCTTACGGTTTTTTCCAAGGGGGTCGGAGTCTTCGGCAAGGGGATCCTTTATCCCCATATCTGTTCACTATTGTCATGGAGGGCTTCTCTATGATTCTTCGGCAATGTATTCAAGAGGCTTCTAATTTTGGATATCATCGGGGTTGTGAAGATCTTAATATTACACATCTTTGCTTTGCGGATGATCTATTTGTTTTTACTAAGGGCGATGTCCAGTCAGTAGAGGTGCTTAAAAAGGCTCTTTGTATTTTTCATAAACGATCGGGGTTAGAACCTAGCCTTGAAAAGAGTG